GTCACGTCAAAAAGGACTACCAATCGAATTGTCGAATATGTAGTCCATGAACCAATTTTGTTTTGTACAATAAAGCGTTACTTAAATGGGTAAAGTTCGTTCAGTTCGAATTATCTTCACCATGACAAAGGGATAGTTTTCGCACGTAATTAGAATGACCGTGTCACTGGGTAATGTTAATTTTCGAGACAGTTACCAAAAGGCTAGGTGTACCTACACTTGACAGTGCGTGCTTTTTTATTTATTGCTTAGATGGGTGGACGAGCTCACAGCCCACTGAATTGTTACTGGAGCCCATAGACATCTACAACGTAAATGCGCCACCCACCTTGAGATATAAGTTCTAAGGTCTCAATATAGTTACAACGGCTGCCCCACTCTTCAAACCGAAACGCATTACTGCTTCACGGCAGAAAAGGCAGGGTGGTCATACATACCCGCGCGGACTCACAAGAGGTCCTACCACCAGTAACCCGTGTACACCGTGTACAGTAATTTCTTCTGTTTCTCAATCTCTAGTTTACGAGTTGTTAGTGTTATTTAAAACCTAGGTAATCGTTAACCTCAACATTCATTTTATATATTAGGTACTACTTATCTTTTGTCTGTCCGTAACTTGAAAATTCAAAGCATTTGTATACGCCAGGAACAATAGATTTACAATAAGGAACGTGAGATGTGAATCGTAAAATTAGTTTTAATTATCTTCTATCAGTCACGAAAACTAAAGAATATATTACCTATGAAATTGTTGATAAACCGAGGAAGATAATGTTTTTGTGTTTAAGTCTTTATATCATGTCTATATAGAGTTATGTTATCATAGGATTAATTTAAAGTCGTCCTGGCCTAAAGGATTAGACTACTGGTATACTCGTATCGAGCGATGCGGCACTGACGGTGTTCGAATCCCGCAGGCATGTTAATTTTTTTTCTAATTAAATAATTCTTTTCTAAATAGTTTCCGATGTTGAAATTTATATCCCGGTAGATTTCAATTAATTTCGTTCGACTCAAAGTCAATGCCCGGCCTCCTGCTTGTCACTGACCTTAGGAGCGTAAAGCCGGTAATCAAAAAAGGACGTTGGACTAGGAAAACCTATGACAATTTTAGATCAACAGTATGACAGGCTGAGATTATGATGTATTATTAAGGTTTAACTCAAAAACTACCACCACTCAGATATTGAAAAAAAATTAAATAGGACCACATAAGAAGCCACCAGCTCTTTCTAATAAAAACAAAAATCATCGAAAGCGGTTCACAGTCGAATTGGAAACCTCCTTCTTTTTTGAAGTCGGTTAAATGTTGGGACAGGTCAGTGAGATTTGAGCTCCGGTATCGCTTGATACGAAATCACTTTACGCCACAATCACCCTACCAAAGTCATTCCATGTCATGTGAAATGACATTATTTACTTGCGTCCGCGTGCCCTATCTACATTTCGACTACAATAACGAGTTAATAGACCGACATTACAAGACTCCTAGACGTTACAAAATTCGATTTGATTTCGTAAATGAATAAAAAAGGAAAAAGAAAAACATTAATTTTTTACGCTTAATTACGTGACCAATCGTTTAGGCGGAACGTGACAAAGTTATGATAATTAATAAAATTTCTTTCTAAACAACTCCGCTGTGGTCGGATAAGAGACGATTGCGTCGTTTTCATCTGATAAAGACTATGTGGTTTCGGTTTGGTTAATAAAATTTCAATACAGAAATTTATTTTAATTTTCGAAGTCGTCTTGGCCTAAAGGATAAGACGTCCGGTGCTTTCGTGTTGAGCGATGCACCGGTGTTCGAATCCCGCAGGCGAGTGCCAATTTTTCTAATGAAATACGTACTCAAAAAATGTTCACGATTGACTTCCACGGTGAAGGAATAACATCGTGTAATAAAAATCAAAACCGCAAAATTATAATTTGCGTAATTGCTGGTGGTAGGACCTCTTGTGAGTCCGCGCGGGTAGGTACCACCACCCTGCCTATTTCTACCGTGAAGTAGTAAAGCGTTTCGGTTTGAAGGGTGTGGCAGCTGTTGTAACTATACTGAGACCTTAGAACTCATATCTCAAGGTGGGTGACAGTATTTACGTTGTAGATGTTTATGGGCTCCGGTAACCACTTAACACCAGGTAGGCCGTGAGCTCATCCACCTACCTAGCGATAAAAATAAATAAATTAAACAAGAATAGAGAATCTCTCTATGGTTTAATTTATTTGTTATATTGTGACCACAGCGACAGGTTTCCTCGTAAATAAAACTCCAATCATTTTATGTTGGTAGAAAAAAATAGATTTACCTTTACCTCAGTCCTCTCCTACTAACAGTAAGGCTACGCATCAATAATTGAAAAACCCAACAAGGCTACACCGTCGCTTGGTTACACACAATAACACATTAATTTAACCACAAAATATTTCAGCTGTCGTATTTTTTAATGCCATTAAAACAATCTAAAATCCCACATTGTAATCAGAGCGTCAATTATATTATATTTATATACAAATATCTTGTAAGTTTCCTTATAATCATAATATCATAATCTTGTACATAAATGTATTACCGTGTTTTTTTGAAGGATTATTTTTGAAATACAACCTACGGTGTGACGTGGTTTTTGAATACATAATTTAATTATCAAATACCATAATTTAATATAATAATTTTGTTGGTTGACTATTTAAGATTACTGCTTACTGCTATATTTAAATTCATTTGTAAAGAGACTTTTTATACTTAACTAGCTGACCCGGCAGACTTCGTAGTGCCTCAATCGATAAATAAAAGACCTAAGCTTTTGTATAAAATAAACTTAAAACAAACAAAAGGAATCCGTCCGACAGGGGACACATCAAAGGGAAAACAAAACTGTTATTTTTATTTAATTCCGAGCATTTTCGTATTTATCTACCTTTTAAACCTTCTCTGGACTTTCACAAATAATTCAAGACCAAAATTGGCCAAATCGGTCCAGCCGTTCCCCAGTTTTAGCGAGACTAACGAACAGCAATTCATTTTTATATATATAGATAGATTTAGGTATTTAAAGATGGTATAAACGATGCCTCAGTTAAGTACTTTAGTTTTCGTTATCACGGATGACAGATTGCAGAGCAATACATACGAATCAGTCGCGCTATTCGGTAATGAACTTCAATTATTTAAATTTACGCTTATCAAATAGTAATGAACGCTACAGCTGTTTTGTTCTGGGCTCGGTAAGTGAATGAACAAATTGTTCACTTGATGTTAAATGGTCACAGACGACTGTAAAATAAATAATAATAATTAATTATTTCTATTTCTGCCGTGAAGCAGTAATGCGTTTTGGTTTGAAGGGTGGGGCAGCCGTTGTGACTATACTGAGACCTTAGAACTATATCTCAAGGTGTGTGGCGCATTTACGTTGTAGATGTCTATGGGCTCCAGTAACCACTTAACACCAGGTGGGCTGTGAGCTCGTCCACACATCTAAGCAATAAAAAAAAAAAAATATTAAAATGAATCTATTTTAAAGAAACACCCTGTAAATTTGCGTTCTCTTTCATGCCACGAGTAATGATATTTCTAGTATAGCACTTAATAATTATAGTCAATTTTTTTCGTCGAAAGGTTCGGCGAGTAAATTAACCCACAGTCACAGCCCACTGGGTTTCTCGCCGGATCTTCTCAGTGAGTCGCGATACGGTGGTAGATTCTGCGAAGCACTGCTCTTGCTAGGTTTAGTGTTAACAACGCCGTCAGGTTTGAGCCCTGTGAGCTCACCTACTCGTTTTGCGAATCTAGTGTAGTCCCTCGCGGTTACTAGAATAGGTAGGAAAAAAGTCATTTTTTCGTAGGCTTCTGAAGGACTTTTAGCGTCGCGATATTTAAAGAGTCCGGTATGACAACGCACATTAATAATAAAAACATATTTAATCACTTAGGATTATGTAGTGCCCATTACATAGCTTTCACCTTCATCTGAATTATTTTATACCTATATCGACTGTTAGTTTCGTCACACACACACACCGTGACTGGCGATTCACTGAATCAATGCATACTGAAGAGAGTGTATGTAAAAATATGTATTAACATCAAACAATTCAGACGTCGTTTTAAATTAGTTTACGGTAGGCAACGACTTGGCTCTGCCCCTGGCCTTGCTGAAGCCCATGGGCGACGGTAACATACCATCAGGTGGGCCGTATACTCGTCTCCCTACAAGGGCAATAAAAAAAAATAGTTGTCTAAGATTTTTAAAAGACACGTTTTACAAAACACAATTTGTTCTTGATTGCAATCTTTTGTAATTGGTAAAGCATTTTTTAAGAAGTCTAGCGGGTCGTTTCATGTGAATAAAGGTATTATAAAGAAAGTCTGTGTTTAAATCAAGTCAGGAATATTTAGAAATGTTATTCGGGTGTCCAGAAAATCATGTGAAAAATCCTCCATCGAGCCTTTGCCTTATTATATTAATGAGATATTGAATTTCTACCAATACCGATTAATCTATTTAGTTTATTTAATGATAAATGTGATCCAGCGCGATTGGCTTGCAGCATAAGTACTTATGCTAGTCGAAATAAACCGAATCACTAGTGCTCAAGCTAGTAAGCGAAAGAGAAAAGTAGGGGGTAATTTGAATGACTACTTATAATGATTCTATTACAAGATTTGTATTAAACTCTTAACGACTCGTCTGCTTTATTCGCATCGTTTATGATAACAAAGTATTTCTTTAAATTCAACATCACACGTACGTGTACAACTAACTTGGATCATTATTTGCACAGTTGACTTCATTAAATGTTCAGTAGAGAATTTTTTACATCTCAAAACGCCAGCGACCGGCTTCTGCGTCATTTGATTCAGTGTTAACTTTGAATACATTAACATTACCAACTATTTACAGTGATCTATACTGCATAACGCGCTTCCAAAAAATTCTTGAAATTACCGATAGCGCGATTCAGGTCCTCTAATCAGTTATTTGCGTTCTTTGCAGAAGATGCAGCGACCACGCCGAAACCCAAGAAGGTTCTGGAAACCGTCATGAATCCAGCTTACATACCGGCTGAAGAAAAACACGGTTCCTATTGGAAGAAGTCTGCTGCATCAACACTAAAATCTAAACTAAAAGAGAAGACGAACAAAAATAAGGCCAGAAACGGAATCCTTTTTATTGGGGACGGAATGTCGTTGGCCACTGTCATGGCAGCACGGACTTATGCCGGCCAACTGGATCGAGGGCTGGGAGAAGAGAATATTCTCGAATTCGAGAAATTCCCGGTGACCGGATTGGCTAGGGTAAGTTCAGCTTCTATCTTTTGTGACTTTTGAATAACTACTCTTACTGAAAAAAATCGATCGGTAAAGATGGCGGGGGCGCAGTCCGATGCTTTGATCTGATCACATCACCCTCGATTCCACCGTCTCCAATGCTCACACAGTAGCCCTAGATGGCATAACCTCGTGTTGACGAACGTTATGGATGGAGTTGGTCACGACCTTCAGACACGAAGAGCATGATTGGTGAAGGAGGAGGATTAAAAAAGATATTGTGTTAATGGCGGAAATTTGTTTGATTTACCTATCTCTAAAATAGTTTACGCATGTATTGTACTATAAACTTTACAAATAAAAAAAGAGATAGCTATCTAATTTACATAATCAGTAAACGATATGAATTTTTAAACGTAGTAGAGATATGACGTCAATATTTAAAGTAGATTCGCATTGAATAGACATGAGCTGACAAAGTCTTTTTTTCTGGTGTTTTCTTTAGTATTCGCGTGCTGTAGGCATAATTAAAAAGTTGACGGTAGTTAGCGAAATATTCAAATTTTGACGAATAACAATTCGGTCTTCCGTGACCATAACAAATGTAGGTATAGTTTCCGAAACGTCGGCGAATAACAAAGACGAAATTAAACCATAAAATTATTTTAATTTTCTTAAAATTTTTACTTTACTTTAATATGTAATAAAAGAATCTATATATTAATAGGTGAAGAGAAAACTTTGTACCCCTTTTTACGAAAACTGCGCGGACGGAGGAGTATAAAATTTCCCACACTTATAGAGAATATAGAGAAGGAGTGCAGAATGCTAATATTTTTTTAAAATTATGCATTAACAATATATTAAATCAATAAAAAAACATTACAAACACTACCATGTATTTGACATACACACACACATCTATACTCTGTTTATTGTCAATTTTTTATTATTGCTTCAAGTCTGTGGTCAAATTTAGAATAGGTATTGTTTATATTTATTTGTCTATAGTGTAGTCGAAATCTGTGATTATAGAAGTACCTATAATAATCTTTGACAATAGATCCTTAATAATGTTCAAACTTATAATTTCAATTAATTATAGTCCAATTTCGACTACTGCGGGACCACTAGTATTAAATTACTAAGCGCTTGTTAACGTAATGCAGTGAAGGAACAAAATAGTGTAATAAACCAAAACAAGAAAAATTAATTCGAATAATTACGCCCGTGTAGAAGATACCACTTACAACTAGATGAGTTACTAGTTCGTTCAGTCATCTATGTAAAAAAAAAACATTATGTAAACATGATTTAAATATTCTGGTCTTGATTTCATCTCAATCACCGGAAACATCGACTCTTGTTCAATACAGTTTAATCTTATTTGTAAGCGGAACTTGTTTTCTTGTTGTTATGTAACTATTGTGCCAAATTTCGTGGCAAAAACTCTAGATTGTTCGATGAAGCGATTAGTTTACAAACGTTTCGATGCTTAAATGGAGAAATCCAAAGATTACGTTATCATTATTACATTTTACTTGTAGTAGGACGTATTTTGAGTCCGTAGGTACCATCGCCCTGCCTATTTCTGCCGTGAATCAGTAATGCGTTTCGGTATGAAGGGTAGGGCAACCGTTGTACTGTAAAAACGGAGACCTTAGAATTTATATCTCAAGGTGGGTGGCACACTTACGTTGTAGATGTCCATGGGCTCCAGTAACCACTTAAGACCAGGTGGGCTGTGAGCTAGTCTACCCATATAAGCAATAAAAAAAAGCGACATTTTCGCAACTTTACCGGTTAGCCATTTAAGGTGAAAAAATATCATAACAAAAAACTTCTTCAGCTATTTGAATGGAGTAATTGAAGTTCAGTCGTCGTGGCCTAAAAGATAAGACGTCCGGTGCATTCTTGTTGAAGCGATGCACCGGTGTTCGAATCTCGCAGGCGGGTACCAATTTTTCTAATGAAATACGTACTCAACAAATGTTGACGATTGACTTCCACGGTGAAGGAATAACATCGTGTAATAAAAATGAAACCCGCAAAATTTTAATTGGCGTAATTACTAGTGGTAGGACCTGTTGTGAGTCCGCGCGGGTAGGTACTACCGCCCTGCCTATTTCTGCCGTGAAGCAGTAATGCGTTTCGGTTTGAAGGGTGGGGCAGCCGTTGTAACTATACTGAGACCTTACAACTTATATCTCAAGGTGGGTGACGCATTTACGTTGTAGATATCTATGGGCTCCAGTAACCACTTAACACCAGGTGGGCTGTGAGCTTGTCCACACACCTAAGCAATAAAAAAATAAAAAAAAGTTAAAAACATCGAACTGTTTGATACTAATCCCAAATAAAACGCACTTTTAATTACAAAGATAAATATCGTGTATTAATCGAAATGTGGCTTAAGCCAAAACGCCTTTCAGCACTCGTTATGAACATTAAAAGACGGAATATTAAAAAAAAAATACAAAAAAAATTATATTACACTAGCGACCCGCCCTCGCTTCGCTTCAGAAACATTAAATTTTATTATTGGTAGCTGAGTCCCGCAATGTTACCCGCGGTTTTTTTCGTACCGCGGGTGAAGCCGCGGGGTGAAGCTAGTGTAAAAAAATAAGCCTAAGTTACTCCTTATATCATCAGCTACCTATCAGTGAAAGTCCCGTCAAAATCGGTCCAGCCGTTCCAGAGATTAGCCGGAACAAACAGACAGACAGACAGACAAAAATTATAAAAAATGTTATTTTGGTGTATGTACCGTATATATATTCATATGCATGTAGTAAAAAGAGGCTGTTTCAATATTACAAACAGACACTCCAATTTTATTTATATGTATAGATATTGCATTTATTAAGGAAATATTTTTGCGTTACCCACCCAACTAATGAGCTGAACACTACTCTGTAAGCTATTTTATTTAAACTAGAGGTCCCGCAGTAGTCGAAATTCGACTATAATTAATTGGAATTGTAAGTTTGTAGACTATTATGATTGTATTTTATACATTTTATACATTTTATACATTTTATACTTCTATAATCACAAATTTCGCCAAGACTACACTATGAAAAATATTAATAAAGACAAACAATATTTAATGTATTCTCAATTTGACAACAGACGTCAAGAACAAAAGTTTGACAATAAATAGTATGCATGCGTGTGTGCGTCAAATACATGGTATGTAGTGTGTGTAATGTTTTCTTTATTGATTTAATGTATCTTTTAAGCATTATTTTAAAAAAATATTAGCATTGTGCACTTCATCTCTATATTCTCTATAAGTGTGGAAAATTTCATACTGCTCCGTCCGCGCAATTTTCGTAAAAAGGGATACAATGTTTTTGCTTCACGTATTAATATATAGATTTTGTTTTTAGAAAATTTTGAATTCATGCTAAACTGACAACGTCGTTTTAGACTTCTATATAAAAACCGAAACGAACTGATTGTCTTCGCGTCGTCGTATTGCGAATTTAATTAATTATATTAATTTATGTCACTAGGCGTTCGCGCATCGGTCATCGCGCTGAACGGAAGTTTTCTACTACTTTATTGTTAGTTTTAGATTTAAAAAAAAAATATGCTTAGATGGGTGGACGATCTCGCAGCCCACCTGGTGTTAAGTGGTTACTGGAGCCCATAGACATCTACAACGTAAATGCGCTACCCACCTCGAGATATAAGTTCTAAGGTCTCAATATAGTTACAACGGCCGCCCCACCCTTCAAACCGAAACGCATTACTGCTTCACGGCAGAAATTTAAATCTGACACATTTTTTTCAATCATAAAACCTTTAATCAATCAATTCAAGCAACCAATCAAACGCAACGGGGTATTTTGATGAATTATAGACGCAGCCCACTGAGTTTCTCGCCGGATATTCTCAGTGGGACGCGATTCCGATCCGGTGGTTGATTCTGCTACACTTGCTAGGGCTAGTGTTAGCAAATTCTCTCAAGCTGAGCCCCGTGAGCTCGCCTAAAGCTAGAATAGCTCCTCAACGCTATCAGCTATAATTTTTTTTTATTGCTTAGATGTGTGGACGAGCTCACAGCCCACCTGATATTAAGTGGTTACTGGAGCCCATAGACATCTACAACGTAAATGCGCCACACACCTTGACACATAAGTTCCAAGATCTCAGTTAGTTACAACGGCTGCCCCGCCCTTCAAACCGAAACGCATTACTGCTTTACGGCAGAAATAGGCAGGGTGGTGGTACCCACCCGCGCGGACTCATAAGAGGTCCTACCACCAGTGGATAAAAATACACACATGTAGATTTGGATGCGTCTACAACACGAAGGCAATTCACGCGTTTCGCAAAAGAGCAAAAAGTCTGCGAAATAAATCCTATACTCTAAAAGAACGCATAATTATTTTAAAGAGGAAACATTGAAACAATAAGACCATNGCGTCTACAACACGAAGGCAATTCACGCGTTTCGCAAAAGAGCAAAAAGTCTGCGAAATAAATCCTATACTCTAAAAGAACGCATAATTATTTTAAAGAGGAAACATTGAAACAATAAGACCATAAGTTAAAACTGTAAACAAGGTGTACTGTGGTAGGACCTCTTGTGAGTCCGTGCGGGTAGGTACCACCACCCTGCCTATTTCCGCCGTGAAGCAGTAATGTGTTTCGGTTTGAAGGGCGGGGCAGCCGTTGTAACTATACTTGAGACCTTAGAACTTATATCTCAAGGTGGGTGGCGCATTTACGTCGTAGATGTCTATGGGCTCCAGAAACCACTTAACACCAGGTGGGCTGTGAGCTCGTCTGCCCATCTAAGCAATAAAAAAAAAACTGTAGTCGATCTTAAGCCGGCGATGAGGAGACCACGTACGCGTATTTCCTGAAGTCTACGTCGCTGCTACAATGGCGACGGCTCAAAAACCTTGACAGTTTTCCTTGATCATGACACACGAACGCAAGCTGGACGGTTGAACGATCAGTATAACAATGTGTATTCATCGCTTTTGAAGTTTTTTTTTCGATTTGTAAAAAAAAGATTTAAAAAAAAACGGGTATCACGATAAGTTTAATTATTTTAATGACACAAATTTATTTAATACTAGCCGTACTCGCCCGCTTCGCTGGGCATTTAAAATTAACATTATTATTTATTGTCATTTTTATTAATAGGGAGTCCAACATTCATATAAATATTAGCCTATCCATTAAGTACGTGTATTTTCTAGATGGATACCAAGTTTCAAGTCAATCGTATGCATGGTTCAGTAGTTATAACGGAACATCCGTAAAAACCACTATAGATTTATATTAGTATAGATTAAATATAGATGTTGAGTGTAAGTAAAGTTGACTATTGCAGATTGATTTTATTACGTGAATTCGGAACTTCAAATGATTTTTGTTTACTGCTTAGATGTGTGGACGAGCTCACGGCCACCTGATGTGAAGTGGTTAACGGAGCCCATAGACATCGACAACGTAAATGTCGTCACCTACCTAGAGATATAGTTCTAAGGTCTCAGTTTTTACAGTATAACGGCCGCCCCACCCTTCAAACCGAAACGCATTACTGCTTCACGGTAGAAATAGGCAGGGCGGTGGTACCTACCCGTGTAGACCCGCAAGATGTCCTACCATTGGCCTGAATTGAAGTCACATTGTAATTTTTTTATCTATACTAATATATAAATCTACAGTGATTTTTACGGATGTACGTTAATGATGAGAATCTTTGTGGGGGTGAGAAATAATAATGTTAATTTTAAATGCCCCGTGAAGCGGACGAGTACAGCTAGTTTATTATAAAAATGTAATACGTACGCTTTTGAAACATAATTAAATAAATAATTAATGTTAGTTTTATTGTTAGGCCCCATCCGTTGAATTTGCCGCAGGTCACGGATGGTATAGCTGACGCCACTGAACCCAATGGATCCAATTCTAATAATTATAGAACTAAAGTATTACTGGATTCAGTAATCAGACCCTTAAGGCCAGCAGAAAATAGCCCCTTACGTTTGTTAGCAAAAACACAATTGTGTACCCGCTTAAGGTGCCAGCAAAACGTGACATGCATTCTTCTCAAACAATACTTGTAGGAAGGAAGTGCGCTATGTTATCTGAAACAATTAGACGGTAGTATCGCCGATCCAACGAAGGATCTTTTCCATAGTTTAGCATCTATTGTGTTGTTGGTGAATTGTAAGAATAAATTAGTAGGTTATGAGCGGGATAATTGTTTAAATTGTGAGCCTTGAGGTCGGCTAGTGGTTAGAGCGCAAAAATTCCTCGGTTCTTTAAGCCTCTCAAGCACCAGTCACCGTCCTGGTCGAACTTGTCGATTACGACGAAGAGTTCGACGAGCGAACTAACCCATAGACACAGCCCACTGAGTTTCTCGCCGGATCTTCTCAGTGGGTCGCGATTCCGGTGGTAGATTCTGCAAAGCCCTACTCTTGCTAGGACTAGTGTCAGCAAATTCTCTCAGGTTGAGCCCGTGAGCTCACCTACCCGTCCGGGCTTAGCTGGAATAGCCTCTTAAGCTACCGGCGAATAGGTAGGGGGAAAAAAGCGCGAAAATTTTCTAGGGCGCCAAAATGAACAACACAACTAACGTGATGAATTTGGACATTTTATTTTTTATTTTTTTATTTGCATACATTTATATAGTGGCTCTCATGACTGCACTTCAGATAAATGCGGCCCTGGTCATATTCTTCAAGATATTATGTTAGTCACGATTCATTAAACTAACGGCTATTCTAAATTTGAAAACGGAACGTAGCCATTACGATTTGAAAATCGGTATTGTTGTATCGTTACACAGGAGTACACCCGACTTCTTATCTTTTGAGCCAAGCAAGTGTGAGAAATTTAAAGTTTGATTGAAAATAAAATTTGACAGTCAGTTCAAACAACTACACTTGGGCTATCCACGTTAGTGTAATATCATTAAACTTTGACTATCCTCACTCGACTTTAATGGTTACCCGTTTCAAGATTCCAATGCTAGTTATAGTCCAGTGACTTCGCTTATGAATTTGAGGCTTCGGTTATAATGCGATTTACCTGGATCTTTGACTTTAGGGTTATTGAATATGAATCTTTTGGATGCAACCTATACTCACGACATATCAACGTTTTGCTCTCGATTTTAGTGCCTATCTTTGTTTTTCCAGACATACTGCTTAGACGCCCAAGTGCCGGATTCAGCGTGCACCGCCACCTCATACCTGACCGGAGTGAAGACTAAATACGGAGTAATAGGTTTAGATGGAAACGTGACCCGAGGATCATGTCACTCCCAACTCCACAAAGGAAACTGGGCGCCGTCTATTGGACAATGGGCCATTGAAAACGGATTAGACGTTGGTTTGTAGCTATTAATATTTATTTATATTTTTACTGGTGGTAGGACCTCTTTTGAGTTCGCACGGGTCGGTACTACCACCCTGTCTGTTTCAGCCGTGAAGCAGTAATGCGTTTCGGTTTTTAAGGGCAGGGCAGCCGTTCTATACTGAGACCTTAGAACTTATACCTCAAGGTGGGTGGCACATTTACGTTGTAGATGTCTATGGGCTCCAGTAGCCACTTAATACCAGATGGGCTGTGAACTCGTCCAGCCATCTATATCCCACCCATTTTTTGGATATTTAACATAAAATTAATGTAATTAGTGGTCACCCGGTAGTCGAGATTCGACTTTAATTAATTGAAATTATAAGCTTGTACACTGTTGTGATTCTATTGTCAAAGAACTTTATTATACTTCTATAATCACAGATTTCGCCAAGACTACACTTTAGACAAATATTAGTAAAGATAAAAAATATTTAATTTTAATGTATTCTCAATTTGACCACAGACTATAAGCATTAAGAAAAAACAGACAATATACAAATAGTATGCTGCGTGTGTGTGTCAAATACATGGTAGTACAAATACATGGTTATAGATAATTTAAAAAAATTAACACTCTTCACGCCTTCTCTATATTCTCTATAAGTGTGGGTTTCATACTCTTCCGTCCGCGCAATTTTCGTAAAAAGGGGTACAAAGTTTTTCGCTTCACGTATTAATAATATAGATTGTATAGAAGAGTAGAGCATTCCCACTAGTGTATTAGGGAGAGCACGACCTATTAGCAATTTAACTAAACTTAATTCAATTAAAAATATACAGCAGAAAAAAAATAATGCATACAAAGTAACATGTAACCAAATAAAAAAGATAGCCATATTTTGATATTTTATATATTTTTGTAATCGGAAGACACAAAGCATAAGTTAATTTAATAGAACAACATTCACTTCTAACTGGCGAACAATAGAACAATTTACTACTTATATAGTCGCACAGACATTAAGCAGTTATTAATTTTAACATTTATATTCTCTTACCACAGTCAATGATTGTTATTAGTCGATCGTTTTGTTCCGAACCTTAAGTTCTATGACGGAGTACAAGAGCAGAATGTTTTTTTTTTATTAAATACTAGCGACCCGCCTTCGCTTCGCTTCGGAAACTTTAAATTTTATTATTGCTGATAGCTGAGTCCCGTGATGTTACCCGCGGCTATTGTCGTACCGCGGGTGACGCCGCGGGGCGAAGCTAGTCTAAAAAAAGTAGCCTAAGTTACTCTTTATATCATCAGCTACATATCAGTGAAAGTCTCGCCAAAATCGGGTCAGCCGTTCCAGAGAGTAGCCGAAACAAACAGTCGGACAGACAAAAAAAAATTTGTAAAAAATGCTATTTTGGTGTATGTACCGTATATATGTTCTTATGTATGTCGTAAAAAGTGGTTATTTCAATATTACAAACAGACACTCCAAGTTTTTTTTTTTTTTATGTATAGGTATATTTTTCTACATTTAAACCTTATTTAATGAAGTTGTAATTTTAGACTGTATGCATGAAAACCGAATTATATAATCACATATAAAGTCTTATGTATCTGCTTAAAACCGAATTTGACTTGCTCGATATAATTATGGTAGCCATGTTGTTTTGTTACTGTTTAAATGAGTGGACGAGGTCACGTTCCGCTTGATGTTAAATGGTTACTGTAACCCATGGATATCACAACGTAATTACCACTAATCTCTTGATCTATATCTCGACTATAGTTTTTAAGTGCCTACCTACCTACGTCAAAGCGCAATTAACTTTTTTTTGTTGTTTTTTTTATTGCCTGTGTAGGCAGACGAGCATACGGCCCACCTGATGGTCAGCGGCTACCGTCGCCCATGGACTTAAGCAATACCAGGGGCAGAGGAAAGCCGATGCCTAAGAAATACATTGCTTTAAGATGATAGCCACTGCGTTCATCCACAGTGCGCTTCCAGAGATCTTTTTTGCCACGTACCATCTGGCTTTGGAATGAGCTCCCCTCCACGGTGCTTCCCAAGCACTATGACATATCTTTCTTCAAACGAGTACTTAATGGTAGGCAGCGGCTGGGCTCTGCTCCTGGCATTGCTGAAGTCCATGGGCGACGGTAACCACTCACCATCAGGTGGGCCGTATGCTCGTCTGCCTATAAGGGCAATAAAAAAAATACTGATAATTTTTCTGTACATTTTAATTCGTTTTCAGGTTTGGTCACAACAACTAGAGTGACGCACGCCTCACCCGCCGGCATGTATGCTCACGTTTCCGAGAGGAATTGGGAGTCGGACGTTGATGTACCAGCGGAGTGCCTGACCCTTGGCTGCCGGGACATCGCGTACCAGCTCGTCATGGATAACCCAGGGAGACAGTTCAAGGTAACGATCATAATAATAATAATAACAATAAGCCCCCTATAATCCAACCATACATCCGAGTCGAACACCAGACTCACGTGGGGGGCGGACACGCGATATAATGTTACTGGCGCGGCTAACATGGCTCTGGGAACCCATAAAAAATGGAGAATCAAGAAATAAATATACGTATAGGGCCGCTACCTGGAGGTCGCCAGGGCACGTCTGGAGCTGGCGCTGGACGTGGCAGCATGCGGACCGCCAGTGGTCGTAGATTGAACAGCCGGGTCACGACCAACCAAGCTACTACAGCCGAAACACAAATCACACTTACACCAGACACTCAACAGGAATCAGCAAGAAGTGTTTTGCAGGACATGCTACCTGCAACCACCCTTGCTGGCAGAAACAGGCAGCGAATGAAGTGGACGGACGAAGTAAATAAACAACTACTTCGCTGCTATTACACGGTTACAAATTGCGAAAGTAATCTTACAGGATATCGCCTAGCACTCTACACGAAATTCATTGACATATACCCAGACCTTCACATAATATCAGAACAACGTTTAGCAGATCAGGTGCGAGTTATACACCGCAATAATAGAATCTCAGCCGCAGAAAGGGAAATAATTAAGACCGAAGTAGAACAAAATCTCCATAGTTTGACTTCAGTGTCTACAAATCCTACTAACTCACCTCCCATAAATCAGGAAAACATAATACACAGTACTCAACATGGTTCACACGATACAAATAACCGAAATACATTTAACTCAACAGAATACATAGTACACACACCATCGACAGACTCACAAATAACAGACCTTTTGCTTACACCCTCATACACACTATCACACACACCATCTGCACATAAACAAGCATCAGATACCCAAACAGACCAACCTGATACTACAGAGAGCATACAACAAATAGAACAGATTTTTAACGAGAACTTCATAAAATACAAAGGAATTGATCCCACGCTACGACCAACTTTGTCAAAATTAAAAATATCACATAAATCGATAAGTACAGTAAAAATACTAAATATTCTGATAGATAACAAACTGACAAATATCACAAATCCAACCATAGAAGAAGTACATGATCTTATATATAGTGCAGCAA